GTCGGTAGCTATAGTGGAGTCAACATATTTTGGCTGCTGTTGGAGAATCAGTTGGACAATCGTCAAGTTCCCCCGTGTCGTGGAACTGCGGTACATATGCCAGGTGAATTGTGGCAACGAGGCCGCATGTCACGAGTTCTAGCACGTCTTGTAGCAACTCCTGCTGCCAAGCAACTCTACGTTCAAAGATGGCTAAACGCCCTCTGAGACGTGCGCTAACACTGTTGGCAGATCTCAAACACATAGTTGTCCCCCAGTAGGCAGCCTGCTCGCAAGTAGGAGCATACGTTCCAACTCCAGACACGGCATCCTACACGACACGCAAGAAGAGCATCATACCTCAACGTCGTACAATGCATGCTACAAGCACATCTTCCAGTAAATCGTGTGGCAGGCGCCAACACATGCAAGCATTACCAAGCTCGCTTTGGTTCAGTGCAGGAACAGAACGTTGACTAGGGCATAGGGTCGCACCAGCCAGCCTATGGCCAAGCAGAAATACATGCACCAGTTTCAAAGCGGCCACCCCACAATGCTTGACTGCTGCACGCTGACTTCTGCTCATCTCCTACAGCTGCTCCACAGGGTTAGCGAAGTTTGCGCTGCCCGTAGCCTTCATCTCAGCAATGGAGGGGATAAATGCTCAATATATGGTTAAAGTGTAGTATAGAGGATTACACTTCTTGCTTCCATGTGCGCTGCCTCCTGGTACAATATACTAAAGCGGAACATAAGGGACAGCATTTCTTGCCTCCATGCGTCAGCCCATCTGTGCAGGAGTATCCAGCCCAATATCGTGCCCTCCCGCATTGAAAGCACTGCAAATCAGCTCTCCAAAAAGCTCTGGATGTAGCATTAGAAATAATAGTGCCGCGCTTTTTTTATGTGTAGGAAGGGGCTTCGTTATTTCAACCATGGACTATTGCGATCCACCGGCAACCGACCTGGTGACCGGCCGTCTCCTGGTCGCTGGACACAGGGCCGAGCCAATCGGCTTAGCACTTCGAGTTTCGGAAAACTGAGGAGTGAATTATTTGAATACTGCTCTTTTTATAAATAAACAATATCAGATATCGCTGGAAAACAGTAAAAGACTGGGAGTACAGGCCCTTGAACTCCGATTCGCGCATCGCCCACGCGATGGAGTACCCGCTAACCCAACTCAAAATAGCGCAGTCATCCAAGTTGGTATTCTCCATCCCGAATTTTCCCCCCCGCTTGCAGGAACCATCATCGGCCCATAGAGCCCGGCAGCCTGGCACTACAACAACACCAACACAAGCAAGGTTCCCTAGCCACACAGAATGTGTAGGGCACACGCACTACTACAGAATGTGCCGACGGCGTTGTCCAAATTGCAGGACACCAATGGAACTTCCGTTGAAGGACAGAATAACAGAAGTAGGGTCTTGAGGCCCGGAACATTTAGGACACGTGGGCGGTCACCTACTTTGACTCCATATCTTGTGTGGGCTACAATACTGTCTGTCTCAGCAGTTCTCCTTATCTTGACAAAATGTGCAAGATTCCCGCACATGTCGAGGGTCAGGGCGGGTGGGGGACGACAGTTATCTGGAAAGGAGGGTGGGTCAGAAGATGACCCTGAGATCGCCGCAATAGTGGAGCTGTGCTTAGAACTGGAGCAGGAGTACGCCCGATCCTTGCAACCTTCTGAAATGCCACAACAGATGCACTGGGGGGACAGTCAACCGTGGCAACATGTTTCCGGTAGCAGAGAGGAGCTGCATACTGGCGCCCAAAGTACTTCGTTGCTGGCATGGGACGGATCCGTGCCTTCTTCTTCCGTTGGCACCCCAGGATTCCACCAGGGACCTGCTGTGCAGACGGACAATACATTTTCGACAAGGCCTGCTGACATGTGGGAGGCCCATGGGTTTCAAGGCGCAGGGCCATCCACTTCGGCAGGGGTCTCTACCATGCTGCTGCCATCTGCTGACGGGTCCCTGCCCCACCAGGGACCTGGTACGCAGACAGCCTATAGCTTTTTGAGAGGCTCCGCTGATATGTGGGGATCTCCTGAGTCTCTAGGCGAACCTGCATCCACATCTGCAGGGGTCTCTACCATGCGGCTGCCATCTGCTGACGGTTCGGTCCCCACTGCTTCTGCGGGATACGGCTCCTTGGCCCTTCCTGCGGCTGACAGCGCAGCTTCATCATTTCAAGGTTTTCATGTGCCGAGTTCCTCAGCTCCCTTAAACGCGCCTTTGGTTTTCGGTGAATTCAACCCAGGCTTGGTGTTGCCTCAAGCCCAGCCCTGGGTGCCGCCGGGTGCCCCAGTTCACGACGTTCAGCCCAGCATACAGCGGAGCCCGTTCCCTTCAATTGTTGAGGCATTGTCTGTAGGAAAGAGGAGACGTGAAGATTACCCAGCGACGTATCCAGTGAATCCGCCAAAGAAGTATATGTCTCCTTCC